GCTCTTAACCAACTGAGCCACTCGGCCTTCCCTAATGTATTCTTCATTTGAGTTATTGTATTCTTTATTTCTGACTGTTTTTGTTTTTAATGTTTTCTATTTCCATTTTTATGTTTCCTATCTCTTTGTTGAAGTTCTTTCTGAGATCATTAAGCATCCTTATAACAAGTGTTTTGAACTCTTCTGTTCTTTCATTTAGGACATGTTTCTTTGTCTCCCCATTTTGGCTGCCTTCCTGTTTTTGTTTCTATGTATTAGGTAGGGCTGCTATTTCTCCCTGACTTAGTAGAGTGGACTTCTGTAGTAGGTTTTCTGTGGGCCCCAGTGGCACAGTCTGAGCCAGGTGCTACAAATGTGTCTCTTGTGTGCTTGTGTGTGCCCTCCTAATGTAGTTGAGCCTTGGTTGCTGTTTGCCCATCAATGGGAGGGATTGACCCTTTAAAGTTCATTAGTTGTGAGGAGTGGCCATTACTACAGTGGAGGAGCTGCTGTATAGGGGCTGACAACACAGAGCAGAATTGACTTTAGCAGGACTCTGATGCCTGCGCAGTCTGTACTTTGGGTGTGTCATCCTTGGAGGCAGCTCGGTGGTGCTTCAGCTCAGTCCAAACCTGGCCACCTGGTGTGACAGTCCCTGGGCCTCCTGGGAGGAGCCCTGCTGCCAGGCCAAGTTCAGCCTCAGCCAGTCCCCTGCCTGGGGCCACCTGGCATGAGCCACAAAGCAATCTGCAAATGGCCACCACCCGTGCTGGGCTTGAAGGTGCTTCCAGAAGCCAAGCTGTGAACCGGGGCTGGCTGCTGCTAGTGATGGGCTTGGGGCTGCTCAGCAAGAGGTACAGGGCATGCTGAAGCCAGATGCTGCTTGTTTCAGGTTTGTGAACCTTTGAGAGATTTTAGTAAACTCTGTAGCATGAGCTAAGACAGGCCGTTTGTACAAAAAAGCCACTGGAAATGGCTTGGATGTGCCCAAAAGTTGGGAGGGGTGGGGTCTCAGGGAATAAGGGTGGACTAACAGTGTTAACTAGGTTGATGGAGACTCAAAATATGGGGCCACCTGCATCTGTATGGTGGGAACAAGGAGGACTCAACTAAGAAACGATGGATTCTGCTAGTATTTCTGTTCGGGAGAAAACTGCCCCTCCAGCCCTCACCCTATAGACAGACAACTGAGTTCCTCCCTGTATGTCCCTGGCACCTTTCAAGTCGCTGCCCCAGCTCAGAACAAGTGAGTCTGTTAATGAGTAAGTCTGTGTGTGGTCCTTTAAGAGATGTGCCTAAGACTTCAGCTGCTCTCTGTCTCATAGTCTCCACTGGTTTTCACAGCCAGAAGTTATGGTTATTTCTCTCCCAGCACTGGAACCCTGAGCTGGGGAACCTGGTGTAAGGCTGGAACCCCGCACTCCTCTTTGGGGTACCTCCACAGCTAAGATATCCCTCCCTATTTTTAATGGTCACATGTGGGTGTGGGACCAGCCTGTTTAGTATCTCTGTCCCTGCTACCAGTCTCCAGGTGGCTTCTTCTCTACGACCTTAATTGTAGTACTTTGGTTCAGCTAGACTTCAGGTTATTCTCAATGATGGATGTTTTGCAGTTTAGTTGTAATTTTGATGTGGTCATGAGAGGAGGCAAGCACAGCATTTACCTACTCTGCCATCTTGACCAGAAATCTAGAAATGAATAATCTTAAAATGAAATTATGAAAGCAATTTCATTGACAATAGCATAAAAAAGAATAAAATACTTAGGATAAATTATACAAAAGAGTGCAAAACTTATACTCTGCAATCTATAAAACATTGTTGAAAATAATTAATGAAGACATGAATAGAAAGATATCCCATGCGTATGAGTAGAAGACGTAATGTTGCTAAAGTGGCAGTACTTCCCAAATTGATCTATACTTTCCACAAAATTCCTATAATCTCCTACCTAGTTTCTTTGTAAAAATTGACAAGGTGATCATAAAACTCATGGAGATTCAAGAAAACCAGAATAACCAAACAATCTTGAAAAATAAGAATGAAGTTGGAAGACTTACTCTCCTCAATATCAAAAATTACTACAAACCTACAATAATCAAGACAGTGTGGCACTGGCATAAGAATAGACATGTAGATCAATGGACTAGAATTAAGAGTCCAGAAATAAACCCTTACATTTGCAGTCAATTGACTTTGACAAAGGTGCCAAAATAATTAAATAGGGAGAGAATAGTGTTTCAGTAAATGATACTGGGACTACTGAATGCAAAGGAATAAATTTGGACCCATACCACACATCATATACAAAAATTAGATAAAATTGGGTCATAGACCTAAATAAAAAGCTATAAAGACAACACTCTTAGGAGAAAACATAGGCATAATCTGTTACCTTGGATTGGCAATGGTTTTTAAAATATGACAAAAGTACAAGCAACAAAAGAAAAACTAGACTAATTTGACTTTATCAAAACTAAAACTTTTGTGGTGCAAAGGACATCATTATGAAAATGAAAAGACAACCCACTGCCCACTGAATGAAACAAAGTATTTATAAATCACATGTCTAATAAGGAACTTGCATCTAGAACACTTATAACTCAATAATAAAAAGACAAATAACTAAAAAATCAAAAGGATCTGAATAGACTTTTCTCCAAAAACGATACACAAATGGCAAATAAAAATCACAATGAGACACGACTTTAGACAATTAGGATGGTTATGATAAAAAAGATATGTGCTCACTTCTACAGCACATATATTAAAATTGGAAAAAATAGAGAAGATTATCATGGCCTCTGGGCAAAAATGATATGCAAATTCTGAAGCGTTACATATTTTTTAAAAAAGAGATAATAAGTATTGGAGAGAGCATGAAGAAATTAGAACCTTCATACACTGCTGGGAGCAATGTAAAATGGTACACTTTGGAAAACAACCTGAAGTTCCTCAAAAGGTTAAGCATAAAGTTACCCTATAACCCAGTGATCCCATTCCTAGGTGTATACCCAAAAGAAATGAAAACACGTCGACACACAAAAAAAACTTGTGCATGAATGACTGTAACAGCATAAATCATAACAGCCAAAAAGTAGAAACAACCCAAATACCCAGCAACTGATGAATGGATAAGTAATATGTAGTATAACCACATAATGGAATATTATTTGGCAATAAAAATGAATAAAGCACTGACAAATGCTACAACATGGATGAACATTGAAATCATTATCCTAAGTAAAAGAAGCCAGTTACAAAAGACCAAATATTGTATGGTTCTTATGAAATGTCCAGAAGAGGCAAATCCATAGATACAGGAGTAGATTAGTGGTTATGTAGGACTTGGAGAATGTGGAAGGTGATAGCTAAAGAGAACGTGGTTACTTTTGGAGTGATAAAAATGTTCTAAGAGCAGCAGGTTAGCTCCATTGGTTGGAGCGCAGTGCTCATAACACTATGGTTGCCGGTTTGATCCCCACATGGGCCACTGAGCTGTGCCCTCCACAACTAGATTGAAACAGCTACTTGGAGCTGATGGGTCCTGGAAAAACACGTAGCTCCCCAATGAAAAAAAATTTTTTAATATTCTAAAATTAATTGTACTGATGTTCACACAACTCGGAGTATATGCTAAAACCCACTGAATTTTATGTTTTAAATGAGTGAATTTTACACATATAATTCACATACTATGTGAATCTTAATAAAAATTCTACCAAAAAAGTTAATAATGTATTAACAGTTGACTACATTCGTTGGAGGGAAATATCACTCTGAATGCAGCACAAGACTATCAAGAAATTGAATATGAAAGAGATATATAGTTTGAGAATCTCTGTCATATGTTCGGTGGAGTTCCAGAAAAAGAAAATATAAAGAATAGGAGGAAAGAAGATAATAAAAGGAATCATGGCTAACTGTTTTCCACAATTTAAGATACATCAGAAGCCCAAGTCTGAAAGAGCTCATATTTAAATTATAAGCAAAATGAAAACATTAAATGCTAACAAGAGAAAAATCATATTGCTTATAAAGGAATGATATTTAAACTGAAAAATAATTTTGTTCAATAGCAATGAATGCCATAAAACAAAGAAACATCTTTAAAGTGCTGAGGGAAAATAAACTACTAATTGATGTAATTCAGCTAGAAAGAAGTTAAGCATGGAAGAAAGCTTAGGAGTCAAGAACCAAAGAAATTTCAAGCATGCTGAATAAATTAAGAATGCCACTGAGTTCCATCCAATCATTCTTTATTTCATATCAAGGTATCAATATGACCAAACTTAATATTCAACAGATTTGTGGTCCTAGGCTATATTGAGAATTTTCTCTACCTTGAAAATATTGAATTTTTACAGGTGGAACTGAGATATATTTTAAATGTCCTGCATGTGTGTGTGTGTGTGTGTGTGTGTGTGTGTGTGTGTGTGTGTGTTTAGGGGAGAGGCATGTCCAGTTGGCCCACAGGATTCCCTCCTGCACTCAGGGAATTTGTGGGCAGCAGAAGACCAAATTATTGTAATGCAGGCATCAATGCTCCTAGCATTGTTCAATCCCATGGTTCTTTACCCCTTCCATCCACCCTCCAGGTCTTATACTTCACTCTTCTCACCCCCTTTCCGTGTTCTCTGTCCCTGAGGTAGTGACTCTCTTGCTGATTGATAAACCCTGGATAAGGAGCAAAAAAGCGCTTCAGTATATCAATGTTATGGAACCAAGTGGTGGTTAGTTACATTTAACCTAGAGCCACTGACAATTTTTAAACATGGATGTTTACCTTTAAAAAAAAACAAACCCTAGGCTTTGATACCTACTATCTGACCTAATGGAGAGAACTGAACAATTATGACTAAAACTCCCAGGAAGGCTGTCATGTAGAAGAAAATGAACCACAGACATGACTGTGATAGTTGATTTAATATTTGCTTCTTAAACTTTCATGGCAACATTTGTTGTTTCCATTTGTCTGCCCTGCTGGTGTAAGTTATTGTTTGTTGCCTGGTGCTCTATACTGGCTATTTCTCAATATGTAGCTTGAACATGAGATGAAATGGCCAACTGTTGGCCAGACTTTGGAGAAACAGGTCTCCTGTAAATTACAAAAGTACCCAGCTCAAAGGCTTAGAGAATACATAGGCCATTGCTCTTCTGATATGAAAATGATGCTACTAAGTGCCTCTTCGCATCCTTCACCAAGTTCCATGCAACTCTCTTTCAGGAAAACCCACTCTACTGGAGTCCAAGCAGGGGCCTCACAGGATAGTGCCTGCTGGCATAGGTAAGTGTTACTCCTACCTCAGTGACCTGACTTATTTCCTCAAGCCTCGTGCTCCTTTTCAGGTCACACTGTTTGCTTTTCCCTTTTTATCTTGTGAAGGTTTACTGCTTTTATAACATACCCCATTCTGAGCATTGACGTCAGTGGTCTGATGTCTTCCATGTGTCGGCAGACATCAGCTTACAGTTCTATCACTCATACGCTTGAACAGTCACAAATAGAAAGACAAGCAGACCCCTTTCTGTTCTTGTGCTATATTTATTCTTAGCCCTCTGTTGAGACTTGGCAACAACCAGTGGAACCAGAAGGTATTTTGTTTGGATTAGGTCAACAGTCATCCTCTGAGATTTTCATCTATCTTGTTTGTTACATTGCAGTGGTCTCTGTTCCAAAATTCCACCTGAATCATGAATGGCTTGGAACAATCCATCTCGATGAATGACATGGAGTGCTGAATCACTGGTATTTATTTACTTTTGAAATTCACATTTAAGTCAGTCATTACTAACAAAATAACATTGACATATACCGACCAGCATTATTTTCTTAGTTAAGAAAATATGGATGCAGTACATAAATGTTAAATAGCTATGTTGTACACCTGAAACTCATAAAATATTGTATGTCAACTATACTTTCATTTAAAAAAAAGAAAATCTGGATGCAAACTCTCCAAGAATTCCAGTTTCCTGAAACAATCCAGAGATCTATAAATGTGCTTGCTTAGAAAGACCATTCTCACTGCTCTTAGAGTTTCAATTACTCTGACGAAGGTATTATAATTTCTTTTTTTATATATATTAGGTTTACTAACTTTTATTTTAAAGAAAGAGAATAGTTAGGGAAATTAGATATACTTTGTTGAATGAGGCTAAGCTCCTCGTATTAAAGTTCCTATGTAGATCTCTAGCCATACTTTGTATTTAGACTTTCGTGTATTTCTGCTCTTTAAGAATATAGGTTTCCTATATCAGGTTATCAGACTTTTCCATGAGTTCTAGTGCCTTTGCCATCTACCTCATTTCATCATCACCTCAGCCACCTCACCTTACTGCAAAACACTTCACAGTTTTCAACTTCTGGTATTTGGTTTTCACAACAGCCTTGTGAGGAAGGGCTTTCAGATATTGCATGCCTATCCATTTTACCTCTAGTGTGAAATGTTTTTCTTCTTATAATTAATATAATTGCAATAAAATTAATTATGCTTCAAGAATTTTACAATGCTCAGAGATACCAGGAAAAATGGCAAGGTGTTGCAAAAACATATTGAGGAATTTCTGACTTAAGCATCAGAGCCATCCTGTATGTACAGTGAAATAAACCTGAAACCAAGCTAATGGGAAAGAGGGTGGCATCTAGTAATTGCCAAGAAAGCTTGGAGTTACACAGAAGACAATGCCATATTTGGCTTCTGGACCACTCCCATGTTTTTCATGCATGCCTCTCAGGCACATGTTGATCTTTAATTACATTTCCTTTCCCTTCCCCCACCACCCACCCCACCAAATAGTGTGCTTTATTGAAAAAAAAAATACCAACATAAAACTTTGAGATACAGGGTATGGAGGAGTTGGAGTACTATGTAAGTCAGGGCAAGAAAATGCTAGCTGCTTTAATAGTCAAACTTCAAAATACTATTTGCATAACAACAAAGAATGATTTCTTATTCTTGCCATAGTTAAATGCAAGCCAAGCAGATTTTCTCCAATGCTGTCTCAGAGATCCAGACTGCTTCCATATAGCAGTGATAGTATCTTAAAGTTCTTTGTTCACACTGGCTCATAACTGCCTCATGATTTACACACATGTTTCCATTGGCCAGCACTAGTTATGAGGTCCCAACCTAATTAAAATGCTAAGAGTAGAGTATTTGGTGAGTACTAACTATCTCTGCTATGAACATACAGAACAATTTCGATTCATAGAAAATTAGAGCCAAAAAAGATTTTAGAGAACACCTGGTGTATGTAATCTATTTCCTAATAGAATCAGAGTTAGAGGGGCTGAATAACTTGGCCAAAGTTGCATGTCCAAGAAGTAGCAGAGGGGAGAGTTTATATCATAATAACTAGTATGTATTAAGCTCTTATTAAGTGCCAGGCACTATGCTAACACATCTATGTGCCTTATCTCTCTAAACCTTCAAACTAACGCTATGAAACAGGCACTGTTCTTATCTTCATTTTAAAGGTAAGAAATTTAAAGCTTAAAGAAGACAGGTGAAGGTCACACTGAATAAATGGCAGAAGGGAGATTCAAACCCAGGCTACCAACCATCAAAATGCCAACACATGATCTATCACTTGAGGGCCACATGCTTTGCTCTGGTCCCCAAATCCCCCTTCTGATCATACCAACAGGCTACGTTGTCTTTAGGATTAAACATAAAAGTGCTCATCAAAGAATGATGCTACAGCAACTTAAATACTGAAACTTCTCCAATATCCTTACCTGCCTAGAAGACAGGCTGAAGTTACTTGTGAGAACAGAGAGAAAGCAGTGTATAAATAAGCAGATCACCTGGATTATCATAGTGAAACTTGGGCTAGCTAGGAACAGGGTTCTTCCTGTAGAACATATAAGTATTTTCTGCCATGTGAGAAGTAGCCAGTATAGAGCACCAGGTAGCAAACTTTAACTTACATCTGCAGGGTAGACAAATGGGAAAAACAAATGTTGCAATGAATGTTTAAAAAGCTAATAGTAAATCAACTATCACAGCCATTTCTGTGGTTCTTTTTCTTCTACATGACAGCAATATTGGGAGTTTTAGTCATAATTGTTCACATCTCTTCATTAGATCAGGTAGTAGGTCTCAAAGCCTAGAGCTTTTTTTTTTTCTTCAAGTTAGCCATTTTATCATCAATGAAAAATTCTTCATTTTATAGTGAAAAAGACAAAAATAGAGTTATAAAATTGTTTTTAATTAAGATTAAATTATATGATGTGTTTAGCATGGTACTTGGAATAGAGTAAGCACTGAAAACATGGAAGCTTTGCTATTGCTGTTGTTATTATTATTGTTATCATTATTATACATCTTAGCCAATGAATCCATACAGAACCAAGTCTTACTCACTTTCAAATCTGATGTTACAGAAAAATTCTTTATATCAGTAGGGAATGAAAATTTAACAGGGGGGAAAAGGAGCTATGACATAAAATGACCCATCCTATATATTTAACTGAAATGACTGTTTGATTGATTGAATTTACCAAACTGCCACATTTTCTTAGACCCAGCTTGCAATTGGAGGCCACCAATAGGAAGGCAGGGGTTCACATAGTTTTTGAAACATGTAAACACAAGCCAGGGCAAAAATGAGATCATTTACGGAATGTCAGTCCAAATGAGTATTTTGGAGGAAAAGCAAGTTTCTGTTATCTGGTCTTGATGAAGCCTCCTGGGGAAGGAAGTGTGCTGTCCAGGAAAAGTCAGTACAGTTGCCATCAGAAGAACTGGTAGGAGTTCCAGCTCTTGTTACTAACTCATGAAGTCCATTACTTTCTTCAGAAGTGTCTGTTTTTTTATACTGTTACACAGAGTGGTTATTTTGAGAGTCCAATCCAATGATATATTAAAGGGCTTTAAAACTAATTCCACATTCATATATTTTGAAACCCCACCATAAAATGATAAGTGAGGCCTAAAAATTCAGTCATGTAATATATGGAGTCATTTGATTGCATGATTCATGAAATGCAGGAAGTCCCAGACGTGCCACCCACGTCTACCCAGACCTGCTGAAGTGTGAAGTTTTGAAGTGTCCCAGTTAGTCGACCAGTTTGGGCCAGGAGAATACTCAGGGTTTAGGAATCCATTTTCCTCGCCCTGTTTTCTCCAAATAGTTTGAGATTGCTCTTTTCCCTTCTGGCTTCATCCTCTTCTCCCCCCACCCAAATAAACTTCAGTTTCTCTCATTAAGAAGGGGCTGATCAGCTTAAACTAATTCTAAAAAATGTGTATTTCATAATAAAAATAATTTAATAAAAAAATCTCTTCAACATCCATTCACAAGTTAACATATCATTAAATTTATATTCCTCCTCTAAAAAAAAATAAATAAGGGGATGATCAGGGGAGAAAAGTCATTGCCAATAGTGTTATATCCAAATTCACCTTATGGAGGTGATGGAGGGGGGAATACTGCAGTCCCTTAGCTAGATTAAGTAAGTTACCTATGGCCAATGTGTAATGGAGCAGAGAAAAGTTTATTCTCCTGATTTGTTTTAGGGAATGCACCGTGTTTACTTGTGGAAATAATCTGATATGTTGTAACCCATGTTATGCGTGACCTGAGAGGAGGAATTGGCACTGCTGCTTCATGTGTGCCTTGAGAAGGGGTTTGGTTGAAGAAATCACCAAAAGGAGAAAACAAGGAGAGAGAGAAGGAGGAAAGGGGTTTAGACAACCGACAGAATGCTGTGTTCTGGGCTGCGGATAATCCCTGGATCTTCAGTGTGTGTACAAAATCCAAACATGCACCTGAAGTCACTGAAATTCTTTCCTTCACTGGCTAGATGGGAAGAGACAATATTTTAATATTTAATATTAATATCTAACTTTATAGATATTGGTTATTACATTGATATGAAATTTTACTTTTACATTACAATTTTACATTATGCAACATCATATTTTACATGAGGGCAATTTACATTGCCCTCTTCACAACTGGCTACAGAGGTGTATCATAATTATTTACTTTTGACCCTCCAATTCCCATTTCCATGCAGTCACAGAAATCAGATGAGAGCAGCAGAGAACAAACGCCAAGTCTTATTGTCCTGAGGAATCTCAGATACGCCCTATTTGATTTTAAGCATAGTGAGAACAAGAGAGACATTAACAGCCAGAATTTCTAAGAGGGCGGGGACAACTCCAGCAAGTTTGACATCAGATTCTATGAAAACTCTCAAACATGGTTTTTGACTTTTTCTGTCTGACTTATTTCACTTAACATGATAACCTCAAGATCCATCCATGTTGTCACAAATGGCAGTATTTTATCTTTTCTTATGACCGAGAAGTATTCCACTGTGTACCACATCTTCTTGACCCAACCATCTATCGAATAATTCATAAAAAATAACCCAAAATGTAAAAATAAGTCAACATACTAAATAGTAATAAATGTAAAGCAAGGACTAAAGTAAAATTAAAAAATAAGTGGAAAGTTCTGTTTAAATTGTCAGTGACAAAACCAAGTGCAAATAGTTCAGACATCTATAGGTTATTTTTTTAAATGCAAACATGAAACACATTAGAGATTAAATTAATCTACATGATGGTATTTTATGTCAGGCAATGAAGAGGTGTAAAGGACAGTTTGTCATACCATATGTTTAAATCCTTTCTGGATTTCTTGAGGGAGAGACTGCAAAAGAAGCTTAATAAAATAAAAATCAAATTATTTTATTTATAAGACTGTTGTTTCACTAGTCAGGGTACAGTTATC